AAAGTGCTTTGAATTCTTCCAAAGTCTTGGGAGAGCAAAGTTGATGCCATTACAGAAGCCAAGGACTTGAAGGTGCTGACCATGGATGCCTTGATTGGTAATCTTAAAACACATGAGATGAATCGAAACTATGATTTGTCAAAAAAGGAAGCCAAGAAGGACAAGTCATTGATGTTGAAGTATAAATCAGATGAAGATTCAAGTGATGATGATGATATGGCATATCTCATCAGTAGATTTCAAAAGGTTGTGAGAAAAAACAAAATTTATAAAAGAGGAACAAATGGGACTCGAAATGCTGCTCAAGGTGATACTTGCTACAAGTGTGGAAAATCTGGGCACTTCATCAGAGAGTGTCCTTTTCTCAAGAATGAAAACAAGGAACATAAAAAACACAGGGGTGACAAAGAAAACAGAAGGGACCTGGTACCTGGTAATAGAGATCGTAAAGCTGCTGCTGATATGGTTGTCAAAAGGGCTCTTGCTGCATGGGGGGGATTCTTCAAGTGATTCAGAAGATCCTGATGAGCCAAAAGATGTGTCTATGGTTGCTATGCATGAGGAGGAAACTGTCTTCAATGAAATGTTTTCTCTCATGGCACACACAGAAAATGAAGAAGAGGACAATCAGGTAACTCTTCTTGACATGAAAAATGACTTGGATAAATATTCTCTTACAAAATTGAGAACCTTGGCAAAAGTCATGCTAGATTCTGTGATAGAGTTAACATTTGAAAGAGATACCATGAATGCTGAACTTGAAATTTTAACTGAAAACAAAGGTCAATTTGAAGACACAATGTCAAGAATGGTGTCTCTAGAGTTAAATAACTCTGAACTTAAGAACCAGTTGTGTCAGATTACTGAAGAAGCTGAAAAGCTAAATGGAAAGTCAAATAGTCTGCAAGCAGAAATTCAAGAAAAATTGAAAAACTCTGAGAAAAATTTAGTCTGTCACTTGAAAAGAGTAACAAATTAGAACAGGATATTGTGAAACTTAAGAAAGAGCTTGAAAATTCTCTTAAGTTGACCAAATCCTCAAAGTTGCTGTCAAATGTGACAAATCAGAGTAATTTCAATAAGAAAGGACTAGGAAGTCTGAACATAAGTCCTCCTTATAACCCTCACAGTAAGTATGTGTTTGTGTTTGACAATCTGTTGTGTCTTCATTGTGGTAAGAACGGACATTTGAAGAATGAGTGTATTAGTTGGAGAAACTCGTGTGAAAGATACTCTAATTATGCCGAAAGACAAAATGTACCAAAAGAGAGACCTGGTCCTACAGAGCATGTCTCAACTCACAGATTTTCAAAGAAAAAATCTGTTCCTGCTCCTATGTCTTTTGTTAGAAAGCTTCAAAGTCTACCATATTGGACCAAGTACAATCTGATCACTCCTTTGTCTACCTACTGGGAACTCAAGCTGAAATGGGTTCCCAAGCTTAACAAGTAATTTTTGGTGCAGGTGAGTGAGAGGAGCAGCAGTCAATGTTGGTATATGGATAGTGGCTGCTCTAAACATATGACTGGTGATGTAAAGAACTTCCTCTCACTCAAGACCCTCCAAGGAGGAGGTGTCTCATTTGGTGATGGCAAGAAGGGGTACATTTTGGGAGTTGGAAAAGTAGGAAGATCTCTTGAAGATTCAATTGACAATGTTTACCATGTGGATGGGTTGAAGTACAGCTTGCTAAGTGTGTCACAAATCTGTGACAAAGGAAATGAGGTCAAGTTTACTTCTGAGAAATGCACTGTGTTGAGTTTAACTACAAACAAGGTAATTCTCATTGCACACAGAAGTAAAAATATGTATGTGGCAAATTTGGAAATCTCTCATGGAGATGACTTAACATGTCTTAGTGCTCAAAATGAAAATGCCGATCTCTGGCATCGTAGGCTGGGACATGTGAGTTCATCTTTATTGAATAAGTTGATTTCTAAGGACCTGGTCCGAGGGTTGCCCA